GCAACCCACTCCTGTCACTGGAATTTTCACTTAACAATCCTATACTTTCTGGGCACCTCTGTTTTTATTTTCATAAAATATCTGTTTACTCTTTAGCATCTACAGGCCCAGGATGTTGTAGACTTTTCCCAACTATTCTGATGGATATTACTTATGCTTTACCAGAGGCCGGGTGTGGTAGTGCACACCTTTAATCCCAGTACTTGGGAGGCAGAGACAGGCAGATCTCTGTGAGTTCAAGCCCAGCCAGCCTGGTCTACATAGTGAGTTCCAGGACAGCTGGGGCTACAGGGAGACCCTGTCTCAAAAAGACCAAAAAAAAAAAGCTCCCAAGAATTTCACAGCTGTACTTGGCTCTTGTGCTGCTTGTGAATCTATTTTCTATCCTTGTTTCTTCAGGTATAATTGAGTATCTTTTTAATTTTTTTAAAAATTTATTTTACTTTATGTGTATGAGTGTTATGCCTGCATGTGTGTAAGTGCACCCATGCCATGCAATGCCTGAGGAAGACAGAAGAGGGCATCAGATTTCTTGGAAATGGAGTTATGAACAGTTGTCAGCTGCCTTGTGGGTGCTGGGATTTGAATCCAGTTCCTCTTCAAGAGCAGCCAGGGCTCTTAACTGCCAAACCATCTCCCCAGCCCCATATTTGACTATATTTCAAATCAGGAGATCACAGAAATTAAAAACTAAGAAGATACTAAATCAAATATAAACAAGGTTTATACAGCTTGGAAAGATTTCACCCATTTGTATCAATTGTTTTCCCGACAGATCCATGTTGGGTACAATAGCATGGATAGGACGCAGTAATTTAGTTAACTCTTTATTATCTCTAGTCATTTTCTCTGAGCAGTTCCATTTCTTTATTCTGGAGCTCTTACATGGAGCCTCCCTGCATTTCTCCATCCCTGATGAACTTCTTGGGGTTGGCTGAAGCCATTGGTTCCCTGGGTCTTATAGGCTCTGGGACTGCCCCCTGGCTGCTGGCTTTCCATTGACCACACCTGGATGCTAGGGAAGACCCTGGCTGGGCAAACTGTCTCTACCCCTAGCATAGAATCTCACAGGAGAGAAATGTTTAATGTACCCTGTTTAATCTGGAAGGAGGATCATTATCCATCCCTGGGTCACTTTTCATCTTCTGCACCTGTAGTACTTTATCATGGACGTCTTCTGTGAACTGTTCCTTGGGTTTTAAAGCCTCCCAGAAGTTCCTTAGCACATAATTTGACTTTTTGTCAATTTTTTCTTCAGGAACTTTGGCTTAACACAAATTCTGACACATTTGCCTTCAAGTAACCCAAACAGACCTTTTTCTCTGCTTTACCTTTTTCTAATCTTCTCTAGGTTGCTCTACCCCTTTACAGACATATTTTACATGCTGGTCTAAGTCACTTAAATCTAAAGCCTTTCCTGTTTCATAAGGGTCCTGCCCCACCAAGAAGTTCAGCAAAGTCACTGAACCTCCATATCAATCTTGAGGTCCCTGCTGTACTAAGTTCTTTTTAAACTCTCTGATGAACCCAGTCTTATCTGGCCTGGTGAACTAGGCATCATACCTAGTTTCCATCAGTAGTGCCTGTTCCTCCACTATTGTTTTCCAGCCAGTGAGATCCATGGGACCCACCTCCGGTGATGACCAAGTCTCTCTAAAGCCTTGTACAAGCCATGTCCATCAAGGACTGGTTCCCTTTGTACTGCCTCAGGTTATGCAGCCTGTGTTTCAACTTCTTGAAATGCTTGGTTATGTTGCTCAGCTTCTCTGCTTCTGCAGTACTTAAACTAATTCCATCTGCCCCCATGTCATACAGCCTCACAAGTCAGGTAGCGAAGGACTCCTTCACTGCTTATTTGAAAGTCTTCCCTAATTCCAACAATTCCCGTGCTGAGTGTTCTTTGATTACCACAGTCTCTCACACCAGACCATTATTAAGGCCTACATGAGCATGCTGAAGCATCAGTTTTCCCTATCTTTGTATTAAAGGTTGAACCTGAGGGGCATCTTCAACCATTCTAGTTGGCTCCCTTCCTCATCACTACCTGAGTTCCAGGTTTTGGGGTCCCAGGATGAGCCCTGTATTATCAATCTAATCTGGGTTCTCTTTTTTGGCCCCCTAGCTGTAAAAAACAGCAGGCTAACACCTTCATCTCTTTTTCTCTTTTATCTAATTTACTGGCTTGGTCAGAGGCCAATACCAAAGAAGCCAGCCTCATATTCCTTTCTCACTGCAATTCCTCTCTTATACTTTCAGTCTCTCTCTGGGCTGCTGCCTCTGCCTGGTACAGATGGCTTAATACACATAACAGTGGCCAGGCTGCCCCTACAGCTGCTTGCTATCTCCTCCCCTGGTGCATTGCTTCCAGAATTTTTAATGTCTGCTGTTCTAGTTTGTTTCTTCATTGCTGTGACAATATACTTTGACCAATGCCAACCTGGGGAGGAATGGGTTTATTCAGCTTACATCTCCCAGGTCACATTTCATCTCTGAGGGACCCCAAGGTAAGAACTCAGAGCAGGAGCTGGAGCACAGGCCATAGAGGAACTCTGCTTACTGTTTTGCTTCCCTGGCCCCTGCTCAGCCTGCTTTCTTATGCAACACAGGCCTACCTGCCCAGGGATGGCACCGCCCACAGTGGGCTGGGCCCTCCCACATGACTCAACAATCAAGAAGATGCCCCCACAGACATGGCCACAGGCCAGTTCTATGGAGGCAATTCCCCAATTGAGGCTCCCTCAACCCAGGTGTGTCAAGTTGACACTACAGCTATCCAGCACAATTAACCCCTTATCAACTTGACACACAAATACATCATTATTAAACCATAACTTTTCCAATTCTTATCCCCAAGATATGATGTTAATATCACAACATAAGACAACACAACCTTAAAAGTCCCACAGTCCTTAAAAATTCCAAACACTTAAAAGTCCATAGTCTCTTTTAAAAGTCCCTTAACTGGGGGCTCCTGTAAAATCCAAAACAAGTACTGTCTTTTTTCAAAGGGAAGAATTGGGCACACCTAAGCAAAACCAAAGTCCAGCAAAGTAGCTCAAGGCTGGACATCTGGGATTCACTCATGATCTTCTGGGCTCCAAAGGGTTCTGGCAGCTCCACTTCTCCGATTCTGCCATCCACACCACACACAGCTCATCTTGAAGACCCAGGCCAGCTCCATTCCATACTTACTGGTGTCCTTGGTAGTCATCCCATAGTCCCAGCATCTCCAAAAAGCTGGGGTCTCCACTGAAACTGAGGATACACCCTCACCAATGGCCTTTTCTAGCCTCTTGGGGTGCAAAGCCTCAGATTCTCTCCATGACCCCTTCAGTCCTGGGGTCTTCACTGAAACTGAAACTGAATTTTCACCAATGGTGTTAGATCCTGGCCTCTCAGAGTGCCAAGCCTCAGCTGCTCTCTATAACCCCTTCACGCTTTCAACACCAGAACCATTCGGGAGACTCTTAGACATTGCCAAGTCCTGCTTCCAGCTTGAGACAGAGGCTCGGGTCCCCTCTGTGTGCTGACCCTGAGGAAATACCTCTCAGAAGACTTCACCACAATGATGCTGGTCTCTTGTTACTTACAGCTGATTTTTCAGCCCCTGCTAATCAGCATCAATTGTACCAGTAAAGCAAAGGTTTTACTTCAGGTTGTGGTCTCTTCTTAATCACAGCTTATTCCTCAGCCCCAGCCAACCAGAACCCACAGATTCTCAATTCAAAATATCACATGAACAGCCCTGATAGTCTCCACTTCCCTTTGAAGCTTCACAAGCCAGGCCTCCATCGTTCACAACTCTTTCAGCATAACTGTTCCAAGCTCTACATCAGCAAACTCTAAGCACTCAATGTTTTTTTTTTCCATCCCAAAGTTCGAAATGCTTCCACAATCCTCCTAAAAACACCAAGGTCAGGTCTGTCACAGCAATACCCCACTCCTGGTACCAATTTCTGTTCTAGTTTGTTCTTCATTGCTGTGACATAATACTCTGACCAATACCAATTTGGGGAGGGAAGGGATTATTCAGTTTACATCTGCCAGGTCACAGTTCATCTCTGATGGAGCCCAAGGTAGGAACTCAGGGCACAGGCCATGGAGGAACTCTGCTTACTGGCTTGCTTCCCTGGCCCCTGCTCAGCCTGCTTTCTTTTGCAACACAGGGCCACCTGCCCAGGGGTGGCACCACCCACAGTGGGCTGGGCCCTCCCACATCACTCAACAATCAAAAAGATGCCCCACAGACATGGGCACAGGCCAGTCCTATGGAGGCAATTTCCCAATTGAGGCTCCCTCAACCCAGGTGTGTCAAGCTGACAATAAAGCTATCCAGCATGTCTGCTCTAGACCTTCAACTATTCTCAAAGCATCTCCACAATCTGGTGGCAGACCCCACTAGTCAAGCAGGTATGCCATTCCATACCACCTAGAAGACTGTCATCCCAGGATTTCCCCCACCAACATCATTGCCTTGGTGGCCACATATATCACTACCCATTGCACTACCCATGCCACTACCACTACCCCCTTCAGCCCTTTGGGGATAACCCATCATGTCAAAATTTCCTCTGCCAACACTCTCCCCTCACCCAGCTTCCCTTTGGTTGTTGGCCTCCTTCCCATATCAGGGACAACACCATCACTCTTCCCAAACTCCTTCTCGGTATTGAAATTCTGCACTCAGTGTCAAGTCCTGCTAATACTTCTCTGGGAAAGAGGCATAAACAATGTCCACCCCTCCTCCCTTGGTCCTAAAGATAAACAGGAGTACAATTTTGCCAAACTGCAGTCTGGGAAACTAGTGAGTTTATTGTCCTTACTTACAGAGCAACGGGTGAGGGTTTACTTATAGGAGTGTGGGTGTCCCCCTACTAAAGTCACACCAGAAAGTCTTCATCCAAGCCTGGATGGTGGAGCCTCCTCTAGGCTTCCTCAGCCTATATACCCTTAGCCCCTTCCCCAGGCAACATGTAAATAGGGCCAACTGGTTGGTTGGAAGGTGTGGCTGGACTCTCAGGTGAGGGTTCCATGACAATCCCTGCCGCTCTTTTCCTTGCTAGGATATGGACAGTTAACAAGTTCAGCAATGATGATCTTAGTCAAATGGGTGCAACTGAGCTTGGGAAGTTGGCACCTGTCAGGGGACAGTCCTATACAGCAAGTGCTCATATCATACCTTTTAGACCCATTTCTCACTTTACCTTCCCTTGAAGTGTGAACTCTGTCTACATAGAACTATTGACAGATACCTTAACATACCATGCCATTTATACTTTTGTGTCTGTGTTCCTATACCAGTCTTTTGTTGCTGTTGTTGTCTTTTTTTGTTTTCTGTTTTGTTTTGCTTTGATTTTTAGAGACAGGGACTTACTGTGTAGCCTTGACTGACCTGGAACTTGCTCTATAGACTCGGCTGGCCTCAAACTCTCTATATCAGTCTTATCAACATCTTAAAGAACATGCTGCTGATAACAGACATTTGAGTTTAAAACTACATCTATAACACTTCATTACACTTGTTTGTTTGTATTGCTCCTACTAGACCATAACTTCCTTGGAAACAGAAACCATATCATTACTTTTTTCTCCCCAGAGCCTACTTAAGTGCCCAACACAGATTGTATTAGTCAGGGTTACCCAGAGAGACAGATCCAATAGCATAAATAAATAGAGATATATGAAAGGGAATTTACTAGGGGACTTGGCTCATACAATTATAGAGGCTGAAAAGTTCCACGAGAGGCTGTCTGTAACTGGAGACCCTTTGCTGCCAATAGGGTGGCTCAGTCCAAATCTTCACAACCAGGAAACTGATGGCATAACCCTCACTGTAAGGTCAAAGAATGTAAGGAGACACAAGGTTGGGTCTTAGAATTCAAAGGCCCAAGAGTCTATCATTCTGCCCTTGGGGGCAAGATTAAAGTGTTCCAGGTATAGAAGTTATCTTCCCTATGGCCTGTTTGTTCTATCTATGCCCCTAGCTGACTGGGATAGTGCCTGCCCACACAGAAGGTGAATCTTTCTCATTCAGATTATGAACTCATTCGCCTCAAAACACCCTCACAGTCACACCCCAAAGTAATGTTTACCAATTCCCTAGGCATTCATTAATCTAGTCGACACCTAAAATTAAATATTATACATATGCTCATTAATTATTTGTAAACTAAGTGAATGAATGAAAGAGTAACTTGACTTGGTAGCCCACACCTGAAATATCAGTTCTAGAAGACTGGAGCAGTAGAACTGCAAGTTCGAGACCAACCTGGGCAATGTAATGAGTCTCCATTACCCCCCAAAGTAATAATTTTAGAATGTGTATGAAATAAAGCTTTGAATAAACCATACTTTAATAAAAGTCTAGAGGCTAATTTACAGTTTAGGTTTGTGATTTTTTTTTTTTTTTTTTTTTTTTTTTTTTTTTTTTTGGTATTTTTGAGACAGGGTCTCCCTGTTGCTCCAGCTGGCCTGGAACTCACTACGTAGACCAGGCTGGCCTTGAACTCACAAAGATCCACCTGCCTTTGCCTCCGGAGTGCTGGGATTAAAGGCATGCGCCACCACACCTGGCTAGAATACTTCTTTTAGCTACTAAAAACATCCAAAATAGGGGCTGAAGGGATGGCTTAGTGGTTAAGAACACTGTTCTTGCAGAAGACTCGGGTTCAAAGCCCTGCACCTACATGGCAGCTAGCAACTGTCCATAACTCCAGTCCCAGGGGATCCGAAGGCCTCTTCTGCCCTCCCCAGGCATTGCACAACATGGTGCACTTACCTACATGCAAGAAACACATGCATACACA